TAGTCTTGGAATTCTTCTATCGGCGTATATGCTTGGATTTTGCTGCTCAAAGCATCCCAGGGCAGGAAGAGCACACCTGAATTTTACCCTCCCCATCAAGACGCTTTGAGCTGGTGTCGTTGGACAGGCTGGCTCTTGTGAGCAGGGAGTCAGTCTCTCTCCATCAGGGCCGGGGTGTGGTGGCAACGTTGCAGCAGCCCCAGAGAATGCAGGATATCCCCTAGAAAAACTGCTGAATGATGACACAATGGCAAAAGGGCTCTGTTTCCTCCCCATCCCCTACAACACACTAAACCAAACCTGTAACTGGGGCATTAATGGTCAGAAGTCAAAATCAAGCCCTGGGCTTTATTACGAAGCAGATAAATTGTCCAGAGCAACCCATCCAAACCTGCTGTCGTGCCGCTGGCAGACAAAGCACCACCAGCAGCAAATGTACTACGATTTCTCCGCTGCCTCTTCAGCCTCCCAGGGTGTTTCTGCATGGGAAGGTTTATCTCACACAGAAGTCTGCTGTGACTGACTAAATATCAAAACAAACTTAGTCACTTGTGGGAAATACGAAGCTTGCCAGACACTGCAAGTCTCCCTCCCCACCTGGCGAGCTCGGATGTGGCAGCACTTCTTCCCTCTCTCCCTTGCTGCTGTTTACCACTTCATGAGTGTCAGCCCAGTACAGGAACCAGTCCTTTTCCAGCCCCTGTAACCACCGTCAACAGCTCCACACCAGACTGCGATTGCACCAGTAACACACCACTCACTGAGGCTAGTTACCACCATCCATTTCGGCCATCCAGCAAAAGCCTTGGCGATGATGCATCAGAATGGGCATTTTGGAGGGTTTTACCCATTTTAGGTGTAGCCAGGTAAAGTGTAATGGATGCTTAAATATTTTTGAGCAGGAGCTGATCCCCTCCTTTACCTGGGATGCTTTGTCTCCTGGAGACCAGGGCTGCATCCATCCCACTGGAGTCCTTGCTCCCCTTCGAGTAAGGGCCATCATCTGTGAGCAGAGCAAACACAGAAATTAGTACCAAAAGCAAAAAAACAACAGAACCAGAGCACTTCAGAAAGTTTGTCCTGTTGACACCAGAATTGGGATCACATCTGTATCACAGACTGTAAGCAAGAAAAAACATCACCGGTCCTGGCTTTGCACCGTGCCACATGGGCTATCTTGCTTTTAAGAGAGAGAGGGAAAGAAACAAGAAGGCAATAACATTATCTGATTTATTCCTCTTGGAGCTAATCTGTTAGGAGAGAACAGAATTCCCTTACTCCTGTAATTCTGTGGAATAGCTGAGGACAGAGAAAGCTGTGGCATTAGTCTCAGAAGTTTTAAGCCTGTCATTATGCTTGTGAAGAAACTTACGGTCTTTGGAAATGGAGTTATACATCAGGACACTAACAGGGCACTAAATCACTATACTTGAACGAAATTGCCTATTCTTATAGATCCCATTATTTCAAAGTCACATTTTCCTGCTGCTGTTCCAGCCTCTGTACAATATAGAGAGCACCTTCTGTTAAGTGATTTAAAAAAAAAAGTCAGAGGAAATAGAAAATAGTATTATGCACTATAAATGCAGCATCCAGCATAAATTGAAATTTAAATTTAAAGTATTTAAATATCTTTGTATTTTCCTATTAGAAGATTCCTATATGGCACAGAGGTTATTTGCAGAGAAGGAAGCATGCTTCTGAAGATTTCACTGCCATCCATCTGAAACGTCTATTTTTATGGTATTTCCTAAAAAGCTGGTGCTTTTTCAATCAATAATTTCCAGTAACCATCAAATAACTCTCATTCTCAGTGAAGACATTCCTGGATTGCCCTTTCCAATTTTTCAGTAGCTGTGAAGGTTTAGAAGTTGTACATGATAGTATAAATATGGGTTACTGAAAACCTCATCCACTTATTCCTGTTCAAAGCCCATAAGTAACTTAAATATAAGTTACAGAGAAGTTTTTGTCTGGCTGCATGCAAAGGGAATGACGACTTTTGTTCAGCCCCATTCAAGACAGTGGTCTGTACACAGAGAAATCAAAACCAGCATTCAGTTTGCTGGCAGCCTGCTTTCCCCACAAACCAAAAAACGATGATGTAAATTGAATCACACTGGTTACACTTAACCACTAGGAGAGGAATTTTAGGCTTAAGGGCTTGAACATTTTTTAAAAGTAAAATGAAATAAGGTTCCACCTAAAGTAATTGCCAAAAAAGCAAAAACCAAAAAATTCATCTAGTTTTAATTCCTGTTGCCCCAGCTGAAGTAATCTCACGAGTTGAAAAAACTCAGTGAAAAGTTTGGGCTGACTGAAATCTGCACTTTCAAGCATAAAAAGTTTCAGCTGAAAAGTAAGCATAATTCAGTTTCTCGACCTCAATTTTGCAGCCTATAGAAGGACAATGTAGATATCCAGACCCTGGCGTCTTCTCCTGCATCACTTTGAATGCTTTTCCATCACCACTAAACTGAAGATTCCTAGTGAAGCAAGAATTAGCACTTGGCACTAGACCATCACCAAGTTATGCCAAGTCATTGCTGCCAAAACACATTGAACCTTGATAACCAAGCAGCCACGACCTCTGTGAAACAGGGGAATGAAGCTCTCCCTTTCAAAAAATAAGGGGAAGAGCAGGCAGGATAAAACAGCACCATCTTGACCATGGAGACCTTGCAGCGCTGCTCAATGCTGACAGCGAAAGCAGCAGCACTTGGCCAGAGAACTGCAGCAAACACAAAGGCAAGACGCTGATTTGAGAGAGGTGCTGGCACAGCCTGGCACCAAATCTAAGAGCAGAAGGCTTGAAAACAAAATTTGCATTTTTAATAGCAATAGTTCTTGGGCAATGGGGATGCCAGGGTCAAGGTTAATCTAGGCTTAATGACTCTTGAAAGAAGTTTAATTTACTTGGTACAGTTCAGCTCCGACATCCAATTTTTTTAAAAAACAACAACCCAAAGCCAGACACCATCTCTTCTTCAGTAGCTGTTTGATAGTGATAAAGATTCAGAGCTTTCAATCTCTGTCACTGTTGGCCATGTTCATCCTAATTTTTCTCTCTGGAAGGTTTTTTTCTTAATATCCTGCCTCACCCTCTCTTTGTCACTACACGCCTTGCAGAACTGCAGAGTGAGAAAATCGAGATGGTTTGGGAGTATAAAGCAAGATCCAATTGCTCCCTGCCCTCACCACTCAGCCCAGCAGCAACAACCATCCTTCATTTCTTCCCAAATACACATTGGAGGAGGAAACCCAAAACAGCAGCTCAGGATACCCAGTGCGAGGTCGCTTTTCAGCACGAGAGATGAGTCTGGTACTCATAAAAAGCTCCCCTGGGACATCCAGGGCTGAAGCCTCTCAACACCACTGGAGCATCAGTGTGTCTTTGGTCATGCAGGACACAGAGGATGGTGAGAACGACCTGATTGTGCAACCACTTCCCATTCAAGGGTGTTGCTGCCGGCCCTGATCCCACGTAATGCACTCAAGGCAGCGATGTTCTGCTGCGGACGGGAGTCCTGCGTTCCCAGGAAACCACGCAAGATGGTTTGAAGCCAACTCCATAATCTGTTGGCAAAGTAAAGCAATCAACCGTCTGCTTCACATAAACACACCGCTCTGGACCAGACAGCCACCAGCACCCTTCTGCGTTTCATTTCCCCATCACAACCCCAATCAATGCTGATATGAAACCCCAGTTCACTAACGGTCACCCTCCCTACCCCAATAGCTGTCAGCAAACGTGCCTTGCCTTCTATTTCAGCAAGCAACCAGGTTGCCAGTGCATTAACAAGGGCTTCCACCACCAGCCAAGTGGCCAAGAGTAGTGACCCGAGCTACAGCCGCTGCCGGCAATTAGTGACGTGCCCCCCGGCACAGCCCCGCGCTGCTTCGTTGACAGCCGTGATCAGCCGGCAAGTAATTAGCACCGCGGCTCCCCTTCCTCTATCACGTCTCTCTTTCAAACTCAGTTGATCATGTGAAAAATATTTAGTTTTTCCGCTCATTATCTGGCTAAAATGTTTGAACAGGAAGGGAAGCTGCCACGCGCCGCCTGCCCAAGTGTGAATTGGCATTTGCTTGCATTAGCATCCCCGCCGCGTGGCTCTTTGTTCATTTTCAGCCGATTTCTTGCTCTGCCACTCAAGCTAGTATTAATGGAGTCATTTTTTTCCTTCTAAGCCTTTTTTTTTTTTTTGGTGGGGGGGGGGGGGAGGGGTACTTTGTTTTTTAAATAAAGAAATTCCTTCTCTTTGTGCCCTTCGTCATTTCTCCTGCCTCGCACCGCATCGATTCAGAGGTGAGGCTGGTAACGAGCCTGATTGCTCAGTCGGCCCAAATCACAGCACCAACCCAAGCACTGAAAATTCATGAATCTCTCTACTCCTTAGAATTGGGAAAATAACTCTTCTTTTTAAGACTGTGCAGGCTCTTTATGCAAGCAATCAGTGCTGGAGGCATTAGAGGTGTATTTTTCAAGCTTTTTCTCTCGCTCCAAGAGTGCCAAAAATTTTCCAAAGAAAAAAATTGTGTAATTGGTGATTTTTCAAGCAGTGATGTTAATGCTGGCTCTAGGTCTTTCAGAACAGCTCACCAAGCACACAAGACCCTCAATAAAATTGAGAGCTCAACACTTTCCATATATTGATCCCATGGGAATCTGTGACGATATAGAAAAGTTCCTTTAAGTTTTTGCCATTTCAGTATCTTACTAACACCAGGGAGAGAAGAGCTCCCCAGTCCCTACCCCTAGACACATGGCCCTGAATTCTCCTTCCCTGCAGCAAGTGTTTTACAGCAGTATACATCTCATGCAGAGAGTAGGAAAAACACCTCCTTGCTTTAGCTGGAGTACCAGGGGAGGGCAGAAGGGAAGGTGAGGGCAAACTCCAATATCCCACCCTGCTACCAAGACCATTAATGGCATCTCTCAGCAGGGCCTGTAGTCAACGGCACTTCAGTGGCCCTAGTGCAATGTGTCACCTCCAACCAGGGCACTCTAATATTTTATGCTGTCCCTGTTTAATGGAGATTGTGCCAGCAGCATCCAGGTTTCCAGGCAAGTCAACCCAGGAGTCACCGTCCCCTTCACAGGCAGCACAGAAAGTGGCAGAGGTTTTCCCAGAGAGGATGAGATGGGGAAGAGGACAGCAAAATACAGGTATTTTCCAGGAGCCTGAACTCAAATACAGGATAATTGACAGATTGAGTCTTCCTCTGCCTCCTCCACAGGGGAAATCCCAGCTGGGATTCGGGGCAACACAGCGAGAAGCAGCTACTGCCCTGCAAAACCGCTCAGCCGTGCAGCAAGAGCCTGGCACAGGAACGCCGCAACTGCAAAAGAGGTGGTCCAGACCGGATCAAGTCTGCCTCCCGAGCAGAGCTGGCGGCTCAGCCTTGGTAGGAAACCCTCTGTTTCCAGAAAAGCCCTGTTGTGCATGAGACAAAGTAGGGAGTTGAGGAGAGAAAAGAAAAAAAATAAAGGAAAAAAAAGAAAGAAAGAAAAGTGAGAGGGCATTTGAACTGTTTTGTTGCCTGCTCTTGCTCTACTCAGGTTGAGTTTTTTTCCCCATTGAATGTATTACCTGGGAAACCAGGCTCCTCAGCTACAAGGTGAAGCCATCCTCCCCTCCCTCCCCGATCATACTGGGAGGTACTGGAAAGGTGCCGGCGGCAGCAGGGAGAGCAAGGGCTGCCCAGGGATGAGTCTCTCAGTGATTAATCAGCATGGGATTGTATAGCCAGCGCTCTGCTGCTTGCTTCCTACATGTCATTCAGCATCTCAGCTCCAGCAATGGCCACAGGGCTATAAATCCTGTCATCTGCTCTGCCACCAGCACCACCACTTCTCCCTGCTTTTTCAGCACTTAATGTTTTGGGGATTATCTACTTCTACTCCCTACTTTAGGGGAGAAGATGAGAAAGGAGAGGGGAATAACAGTTGTTAATCATTGCAATCCAAACAGAAAGGAAGTAAACCCAATTA